GTATTATCCTATCACTTACAGCATTGTACTGCAGGATAGATCTTGAAATGTTCTTTTTGAGGATGAATGGAACACCATTCCTCTTCAAGCTGTCATTCCTGGCATAGTAGACCTTGTGATTGTCCTATTCAAAATGGCCAGTACCAGTCCATTTCAGCTCACTAATGCCTAGAATATGGATACTTATGCATTCCATTTCATTTTTGACCATTTCCAATTTTCCTAGATTCATACTTCGTACATTCCATGTTCCAATTATTAATGGATGTTTGCAGCTATTTCTTCTCATTATGAGTTGTGCCACATCAGCAAATGAAGGTCTTGAAAGCTTGACTCCGTCCATGTCATTAAGGTTGACTCTACTTTGAGGAGGCAGCTTTTCCCCAGTCATCTTTCGAGTGCCTTCCAACCCAAGGGCTCGTCTTCTGGCACTATATCAGACAATGTTCCACTGCTATCCATAAGGTTTTCACTGGCTAATTCTTTTCAGAAGTAGACTGCTGGATCCTTCTTCTAGGGAGATTATCCTGGATTATCTGGTTAGGTCTAATGTAATCACAGAGCCCTTAAATGGGGGAAGAGGGAGGCAGAAGAGTCAGAACTAGAGATGTGAAGCTGGAAAATGCAAGAAAATGGATTATTCCCTGGAGTCTTCAGAAAGGAATGCAGTTCTTCTGACATCTTGATTTTAGCCCAGCGAGACCCATTTTGGAATTCTGACCTCCTGAACTATAAGATAATAAATTTGGATTATTTTAAGTCATTAAGTTTGTGGTCATTTGCTACAGTATCAATTGGAAATACACATACAGGGAGACCAATAAGAAGGCTATTGTAATTTTTGGACAAGAGTTGGTAATGGCTCCACAATCCAGTGTTTATTGGATACCTGCTAGTGTTGGGAGTTGTGTTAGTCATAGGTCATTTATTACCTCTATAGTGGGAGGATTTGGACTTTCACCAGTTCCTCCTGGTGCTTACACTCGCTCTAAAGCACAACTAGTTCCCATGCAAGGGATTCCATGTCACCGGGAGGAATAAACACTTGATGGATGTGCCAGGAGCAGACAGCTTGGGAAAACCAAATGGCAGGACACCTCCATTAACCCAGTACGAGTGTCAACTGGGCAAGCCTGCACTCTGAACAGAAGAGGGCTGACAGCTGGGACTAGACCATTGCAGATTTGACTGTGCTGCTTATCCAAGGTTTGGAGCAGTTGCATTACATGAAACTCTCAGATGCCTCAACCAGAAAATACACAAAGGCAACTTTGTCCTTCTCTCTCCTGTCTTGACCCCTGCTGCGGAAATCTCTAACAGAAAAGAAAATTTCTTCTTTTGTGGCTATTCCAGCAATGATGGGTGGTGTTTGTATAGTGTTTATCTTTGTATTCATATGTTTGTGTTTGTCAAAGCTGCAATTCGGAGTGTCCTCATTCCAGGACCTCCCCAGGCTCAATTATTCAACCTCCACTAGTATTTATTAAGGATTAGTACTGACTAATGAATGTGGATGCTGTATTAGAACATTTTTTTTCTTTGTAACCAGCAGCCCAAAACTGTCTCTTATATTTAGAAGCCCGGATCTACAGTTACATATCAAAATACAGGCAGTGCTGTTTTGCTGAATGCAGCTGTCCTGGTGTAGGCCAAAGATAATTTGCTGATCCTGGAGCTGAGGCTAGCGATTTTACGTCTGCGTCTGCTTCTGCCCATACCTTATGGGCCAAGACAGGGCAACTTCAAGAGCTGTAGCGATACCAGCCTTAGCGATGCAAACAGTAATAGGACAGAGACATTTGCTACCCAAGCCTTCCTCCCTCTGATACAGCCAGTGCTGCCTCCTCTCTGATCACAAAACACTTTGTTTCTGTCTCCGTCTTCATGCTCTCATGCTTCTTTCTAATTGTTTGCATCCACATCTGTACCCCACTAGCCTGTGAGCCCTTCCCAGGGGTCTCTCTTCAATGATACCTGTATTTCCAAAGTCTAGCCCAGTTCTTTGGTAGAAAAGGTGCCCCGTAAACAGGTCAAATGAGGAAATAGATGAGATGGACAACGTAATGGGGACATTGTTTGGAAAGCTATTAGATTACTTTCGTCCGGCTTGTGGAAGGAATAGGAAGAAGCAGCATGCTTGATGCAGATAGCGGTTGATCTATCTCTCCTGGTAAAAGCACTTTGGTTTTTAGAGGGGAGTCACCCTTTCCGCACCCTCAATCCATAAAGTTAGAGTGGAGCTGACCTCAGCCTCAGCTTCAGTGGCTGAAATGTGACACAAGTCTGGCCAAAGAGGGCGCCACAACACCCATGGCCACAGTATCAATTCATACCATCGTCACACCTGTTTGTCAACGGCTGGGATCCTTTCTGATTGGCCGGTTCCTGTTCCAAATCAATTGTGCATTATTTTGAATTGAATTTTTTTTTCTTCCCTGAAGCTATTGGGAGAAGAGGCACTTCCTTTCCACAAGCACTGTTAAACTGGTAGGAAGAAGCCTGAAGTGGCTGGCAGCCAAGGCAGCGGGGGATTAACCAATAAGCAAGGTACGCACAGATTTGTGTTTATTTACTCATCTGTAGCGTACAGTTTCACCTGGGTTTCGCCACATGTTTAATTTCACCAGGTGAAATTGTGCGCTATAGATTCATAAGTAAGCACGAAGAAACCCATGTTTACCTCGCTTACTGTAAGCAGGTGCATACCTTGCTTATGGATTAATCCGCCCCTTCTCGGAAGAAAGTTGTTGTTAGTTGCCATCTAGTAGATTCCCACTCGAGGAGACCCCATGGGTTGCAGAGGAAAACTTCATTGGGTTTTCAAGGCTGTGACCTTTTGGAAGCAGATTGCCAGGCCTGTCTTCTGAGGCACCTCTGGGTGGGTTTAAACCACCAAACTCTTGGCTAATAGAGCATTTAACCATCTGCGCCACCCAGGGACTCTTGGAGAAAGTTGGGGCTGAGAAATGGAGAGGGACAAGTTCCATATAACACTGAGCATCAAGATGCAGACATGCCTGAAGCTATCCTTGGAATTTTCGGTTATGAAAATGAGCCAGTAAACTCTACCAGTTTTTATCAGGTTGCTGAAAGAGCCCTCTGGTGGATATACCTGGTCATCTTTTCCCTAACTGTACTGTTAGGAGCGGAGCCTAGGTGATCTCAGCCTTGCAGAAGGCCCTGGAGAAAACCTTCATCTTTTTTGTCACTGTTAAAGCTCTCTACAGACTCCCTCTCTACCTGGGAGATCTCACTTTGTTATGGGAATTTTCTTTATTTTATTCTGACTTTAATGGGACGAACAGTTTTTAATACGTAATAGAAAAGCTTTTACCTTTTTGATTAGCCCATAAATTAGTTCAGAATGGATGCCTTTCTAGCCATGCCCTGTCCTCTCCACTGTTTTCCCTACAGGTTTGGGCAGGGATGGATTAGCACATTTTGGTTTTTGGAGTCTCTGGAAGGTGAGGAACCCCCCAAAAGCACAATTTACACACCATGGTAAACAGGCTTTCCTAAAACCATTTTTATTCTGCCTCATTCTCATTTGATTTGGGTAAAAGACCAGGGATCCCCCCCACACAAATAAAAACCACGATATGGGAAGCAGAAATCAGGATCCAATATGTTGGGCTGCCTCTAGAACCTCTGTGTGCTGAGAATATATGTCCCTGATTCAAATGCCCTTCAGGGACATGTGCTGACTCAGGACAGACACGTTGGTGAAATGACTGGTGGAATCTGGTGTCCATCAATTTTTATTTTTTGTTAGGTTTCAGTACTTTAACAAATGCCTGAGATTTATAATAAAACTCAGAAAATGCTTTGAATTTGCTCAGAACTTAGAATTTCCCCCCAGGGGCATTCACATCTATTATGGCAATTCTCATAACAACACTGTGAGGTAAGCAGGCAGGCGTTCTTATCTCCATATTCCAGATGAAGAAATTTGAGGCACAGAGAGGCTAAGAAAGAAACTTGCCTAAAATCAGCTTGCATAGCTAGTTAGTGGGAGAAAAGGGACTGGAAAACAGGTATTTTGTTCAGCCCAGCTTCTTGTTCATTTAACTAGAATAAGCTACTTTCTTTTTTGCTTAAAAAAGTTGGTGCAGTTATCATGGTATTTCTAACATTAGTTCTGTCAAGTGATTTTTGCCATATAAACACATTACCTGTTATGTTAATCACTTGGTATTTTTCTTTAAGTCCACTTTTCTTAAATTTATTTGAAAAGGAACACATCCCTAAGTAGAAAGCCATAAATGGAAGGTCATAAATAAAAATAAATATAGTCAAAACAAGACAATGGTATTAAATTTTATTTTGACAGAAGGCTCTGAACTTGAGGCCTGCTCTTTCTTTGATAAAAAGGGAAAAGAGCCATAACATCAGAAAGGTGTTAAAGACCTGCTAGTACTAAACAGAGACTTTCTCCTGGCTGTAATCAGGATTGAAAAAAAACTAGAAAACGGGAAAACTTTCTTTATGATTCAGTGTCACTTAATGTTGTGTGTGAACTACATAAAATTATCTTGTGTACCACCTGTGGTACACGCATCTCACACTTTAGAAAACACAAGGTTGGTGTGTTCTGGCAGGCAGAATAATGGCGTTATTAAGCCAGTATATTCACTCTGGAAGGGTTTACATTTGACAGAAAAGAAATACAATGGGTAGCACTTCCAGGTGGCATCCAGAAAAACCAAAGATCTTTCTTGAAATTTGCAAAAAAAAGAAGTTGGAAAAAGCACATTCCATAAACAGCCAGTTTATTCCCCAAAATGGGATGGGGATGGTGCACATATGCCTAGAATTGACCACGAAATATATTCTTAGAGTCTGTTTGTGTGAAGCGTGAGGTTGTGCTCAAGTTGACCAGTGCAGAATACAAGCAAGGTGCTATTAGGAAAAGTGAGGACCAACACAAAAGGTCATGGGTTCATCTGATGACCCATGGGTGAACTCTGGGGTGTTGACAGGAGGAGGAGTTCCTGAAGATTGGAGTGAAGCTACAGCATATGAAAATAAAAAAAAAAATCCACGAACCCAACTATTTTAGACAACTGTAAACATGCAACAATTGCTTGTGCTCAACATCGTCAACACCTGAGCCCACAGCTTGTCCCAGGAACCTCCTTCCCCCCCGAGCCGGAAGTCTGCCCCTCATCTAAAAGCGCCGACTCCCTGAGGCGCCGCCCTGGAGAAGAGGCGTGGACGCCGTGGCCTTCGAGAAACTGAGACACTGAGACGAGATACTTTCTTGTTTACAAATCAATGACTTTGGCTGATGTGGCTGTGCTGCTTGGTTTTACTAAATTTTGGACTTTCAGTTCAGTTGCCAGGGACCTGCCTTTGGAGAGTCCTGGAGGAAAAGACTTCCCAGTCTGAAGTCGAGGGTCCGTTCCTCAAACTCTTGGGGTGTGTGCGGGTGAGGTACATCCTCCACGCTCCCGGCCGATGGCTGGCTCCTCACATCCTGTGTGGTGCAGACAGAGTGAGAAAGACAGCGTGACTGAGGCTCCACGGTGCGAGACTGCTTCCTTATCTAATGGTGAGTACGCATGGGGTCGCCGTGAGTCGGAACCACCTCGACGGCAACGGGGTTGGTTGGTTGGTTGGTTGGTTTTTACTCTGATTAACGAGTACTGAACACGGACCAGCAGGACTACATGCTGCTGCCTCAAAGCACTGATTCCATTTTGAAAAATTTATTTTATTTTTCCAATTTTTGTTTACATTTCCATATATAAATATGCACATACAAATTATATAACCTTGTGTGTGTTGGGGTGGGGATTTAATATACACGGGACCATGCTGTATATATTCTGCAATTTTTTAAACTTATTCAACAAATGTTTATGTGCTGGGCATTGCTGCAGGTGTAGGTAATAATAATACCCAACAGTTACATAGTAGGTACAATGTGCTAGGCACCGTGTTTTACATATATTTACTCAAATTTAATCCTCACAACAACTCTATGAGGTAGATACTGTTATTATCCCCATTTTATAGATGAGAAAACTGAGGCACAGGTTGGTTAAAAGACTTGACCAAGGGCACAGCTGTGGAGAGGTAAAACCAGTAGCCAAGATGCCGAGTCGTGGTGACTCCACGTGTGTCAGAGTAGAACTAAGCTCTATAGGGCTTTCAAAGACTGATTTAATGGAAGCAGATTGCCAGGCCTTTTTTATGAGGCACCTTTCGGTGGACTCGAACTGCCAACCTTTCAGTAAGCAGCCAAGAACATTAACCGTTTGCACCACCCAGGGACTCCAATTAGAGGTAGAACCTAGATTTAAGCTCCAGTAGTCTAGCTTCCAAGTAGACACATTAAGTACTACATTCCACTATTGTGAGCAGTGAAAGAAATGAAAGTGTTCCTGGAGTTTTTCTGCACAGTAGGAGGAAACTGTGGTATAGTGGTTAAGAGCTTGGCTGCTAACCAAAAGCTCACAGTTTGAATCCACCAGCCGCTCTTTGGAAACCCTATGGGGCAGTTCTCCTCTGTCCTATAGGGTTGCTATGAGTTGGAATCAACTCGACGGCAACGAGTTTGTTTTTTTGTAGGAGGAAACAGACCATAAACATATATGATTTGTCAGGGACTGCTAAGTGCTAAGAAGAAAAGTAAAGCTGGGTAAGGGGATGGAAAGAGGGAGAGTGGGGCTGTGAGTGCTATTTGAGAGAAGTTGGTTAGGGATAGTTTCTCTGCTAAGGTGTTACATGAGTAAGCACCTGAAGGAGAGATGGGAGTAAGCCATGTCAACATCAGGAATAGAGTTCTAGGCAGAGGTTAACAGCAAGTGCAAAGGCCCTGAGGCAGGAGCATTCTTGTGTTGCTCAGAGAGCCTGGAATGAGTGTGGAGGTGAGTGCTGGGAGATGAGGAAGGAGACACAGCAACCACGTCATGCAGGGCCTTCTAAAGCCATAGTCAGGAAGGCATTTCCATGTTTAAACTGCAGTGTAGTATCTATCCTACGGATAAACTACTAGTACTTACTTAACAGAGCCCTGGTGGTGCAGTGGTTGAGAGGTCAGCTGCTAATCAAAAGGTCGGCAGTTCAAATCCACCAGCCGCTCCTTGGAAACCCTATAGGGCAGTTCTACCCTGTCCTATAAAGTTGCTGTGAGTTGGAATGGATTCGACGGCATCAGGTTTGATGTGGTTTTTTGGACTTATTTAACTGTTCTCCTACTGATGGACATTTAGTTTTTGAGTTCCCCTATTTCAAACAGGTGCAATGGATATCATTCCACATCCGAGGTTCACCACCCTGGTTGCACATTAGAATCCTCTGAAGAGCTCTAAATCATACCAACGCCCGGCTCTGTTGCTGGAGATTCTAATTTAATTGGTCCACGGCAGGCCCTGAGCGTTGTTGTTGTCGTTTTTAAGCTCCCCAGGTGATTCAAATATGCAGCTAGGGCAGGAGAACTGTTTTACATGCCTTTTTGTGCACCTGTATCCAGGGTGGATGCTAAGAAGTTGAATTGCTAGGTGGGTGGATACATGGGTTTTTTTGTTGTCTGCCTCGAGTTGATTCTGACTCATAGCAACCCTATAGGACAGGGTACCCCACTGGGTGTCCTAGGCTATAATTTTTACAGGAGCAGATCGCCAGGTCTTTTCACCTGTGGAGCCGCTGGTGGGTTCGAACTGCCGACCTTTCAGGTAGCAGCTGAGTGCTTAACCATTGTGCCACCAGGGCTCCTACATGGATTTTTATTCTTTCCTTTTTTTTTTCTACATGGATTTTAAGGCTTAATAAATACTTCCAGATTGACTTCCCAAAAGACTTTTCAATTTACTCTTCCATCAACAATGTAACATCCCATTCTTCATACTCTTGCCAACCTTGCTTGATATTACCCATCTTGTAATTATTTTAATCTGGTAACAAAGAAAATATTTCCTTGTTGCTTTAGTTTGTGTTTCCCTGGTTACCAGTGAGGTTGAACATTTTTTCACGTGTTATTCTGATTTTTTTTTTTTTTTAAATCAGTTTCCCACAAGCTTGTATCCTTTTTAAAGGAAAAATCTTTCCACTGCTGGCTGGTGACTTAGGTCTGAATTATCTTTATTCAGCTACGTGACCCAACAAAGAAGAACTCTTCTTACTTTCTAGAAATGGGTAATATATCCCCATTTTTCATCATGGAGTCACTAAAACTCTGAAGACACATCTTTACAAAACAATCCCAGGGAGCCTTACCCCAGCCAATAATACAGGGAAGAGGACAGATTTCCTTTTTTTTATTTTTATTTTTGCAAAAAGGCAACTTGTTGCTTATCTCCCACCTTGATATATATGCCAATCCTAATACAATGGAAGGATATTTTGAGGCCAGGAAAGGACCGTTTCTGCTTGTTTTCAGGAGACAAGCTTTGCCAGTACAGAGTGAGTTAATTTCTGCTAACTCTATGCCTGTTAATGGGAGACAGTTGTCAACCTTTAACCCTCTTTAGATGTCAAATCCTTCCTTTAAGGAAACTTTGGAATATGAAGGCTCTTACTGTCAAGAATGGCGAACAAGCATTTTCAAAACCTGGTATGTATGCCTGGTTGTTTAGATATTCACAAAGCCACTCAGGTGTAAGTTCAGTGGGTTCACATTGTATGTGTGTTTAACTTAAGACAAATCAATTATTCATGTTCCTCAAAAAGAAAAGAGCAACTATTTAAATAGAGCTGGAGAGTCGGGCAGTGGTTCTACTCAGTGCCCATGAACATTGGATGGGGATGTGACTAGGCTCTGTGTGAACCTAGAGTGAGGTTCCAGTGTTTCAACATACGCCAGGAGCCCTAAACACAGAAACTGCTTCAGATGGTGCGCAACCCAAGGAACAGTACTCGCTTCCAATGCTGAAGGAACACTGGCTGTGTTGGGCTGATCAAGTTATGGTGTGAGTCTCTAATATGGCGCCCTTTTAAGGATTCTTCCAAGATTAATTCTGATAATACTCAATGTTCGCCTTATGCCCTAACATTAGAACGTAACTCCCAAGTAAAGTGAAGCTTCACGGTCCATCTGGTGTCACCTGAGAGTGTCATTTATCATATTTTTGGTAGAGAATGCTTGCCTCCCTCACACCCAAGCTTTGCCCTGTCAATTAGTTTTCCTGCTACAAAAGTTCCACTGAGTTTCATGGAGCATCAGGTTCGTGACCATGAGCCTGACCACAAGGGTAAGGAAACTTGGGAGGTGTGTAAAATTTTCAGGGAGTAGAGGAAAGCAGCCATAGGTGAAGCTTCTACCAGGTATCTTAAACAACCCATCAGTTGCCATTGAGTCAGTTCAGACTCATGGCGATCCCCCTCGTGTCAGAGTAGAACCATGCTCCAGTTCTCAGTGGCTGATTTTTCAGAAGTGGATCGTTAGGCTTTTCTTCTGAAGTGCCTCTGGGTGGACTCAAACTTCCAACCTTTTAGTTAGGAGTCGAGTGTGTTAACTGTTTGCACCACACAGGGAGTCTCCACTTAAGAATTATTTTTGCGGGGGGAGGGATTTGCAAAAATGCACATTTCAGGGTCCTACTCTCAGTGATTGTGAGTTAGTCTTGAGTGAGGCTCAGGAATCTGTGTTTTTACAAACATCCCAGATGATTCTGTTGCAAGCGGTTCTGAGACCCAGGCTTTGAGAAACATGACTAAAATAACTTAACCTTGCTTGAATCCTCAAGGCACCAGCAGAAAGTAAAAGCCTGCAGGGACTTGAATTATTAGAACTGACAAATAGATTGCTACAATATTTAAATATTTGTGTGATTCATTTCTCCACCTTCCCTCCCAACTTGAGGGCAGGAAATTTTCTGACTTTGAGAGACTATAAGTTTCTGGTTTTTCTTGGACCAGAACATGTCTCCTTGGTCAACACAGCATTGTATCCAAAACTGTTGAATATTTGATGTCATGAAACCTCATCTTTCTTTGCTCCATCCACCATGTGGCTTGTATATATATCTTGTAAAATCAGGATATGATGAGACATTTTTATGAACTTAGGTATAAGCCTATCATGAACCAAGACTATTCCAAGAATTCTTGGGATTTTGACCATCAGGGCAGAAGAGGTTGGTTATGGTCTTGATAAGGATAAAGAATAATTTTTAAGAAGGCAGGAACATCACAAATTTTAAAAGGCAACCGTTTAATTCCGACGTTATTTTCGAATGATTGAAACTGAGAAAACTCACATATTCAGGGCCTTTTGTCTCACCTTCTGTCTTGGCCTCCTTTAAAGCCAGATTTTTCCAGCCCTGCAGGGGACGTCCTAGCTGCTTTTCAGATAGTAACAGAAGAGCCTCCCTGCGGGTACTCCTGCTCTTACAGTAACATTACTCCGCTCGCTTGCATTGAGTGGGATATAACAAGTCAGGGTGATGAGTTTGCTGATGTAAATGAAAACTGACCACTCTGTTAACAGCCACCATTAGTATGTTCTTCCTTTTGAACTTTATGGGGAGGAGA